TACGGGCCCGCGGCGGGCCTAGGCTGGGATGGATTCCACCCGAGGTGGGTATTGCAGCTGCCCGAAAGCCATCAGTTTCGTCTTCTGGAGATTTTGACGCTCTTCGAGGTTGACCCTGGGGCCTTCCTGATGTTCCTGACCAATGTGGTTTTCTTGGACAAACCGACGGGAGGGGTCAGGCCGATCGGACTGCTCTGCCTTTTCATGAAGCTCTGGAGCCGGTTGAGGCAGCCGTATTGCCGCTCATGGGAAAAGTCCCACGTGTACGAGTTTTTCTGGGGCTCTGGGCCAGACACTACGTGTGAGAGGGCTGGATGGGTCCACAACTTGCTCGGGGCTCATTGTCGTAAAGCAGGCTTCGAATCAGCGTCGGCACTCTTGGACTTGGCTAAGTTCTATGAGAATGTCAACCACGGGGACCTTCTGATCGCAGCTAAACGGTTTGGCTTTTCAGTTAGGCTGGTCAAAGCTTATTGTAGTATCTATGCAGGCTACCGTGTGCTTCTTTACGGGGGAGCTTCGTCGGCCGTCGTCGAGTCGAACGGGGCGATCGTAGCTGGGTGCTCGGGGGCCACGACTTTCGCCAAGATGTTGCTTCTAGGACCGCTCTTGGAGGCCCGTGAGAGCAGGAACTTGTTGTATGTGCGCAATGTGGTGGACGACGTCACTGTTCAGAGTTGCGGGCCCAAGCTTCAGGTTGCGGCCCAATTGGCTGATGCAGTAGAGTCTCTGTTCAAGAGCTTCAAGCAGCTGCAGCTTCCCGTGGAGTTTAAGAAGTGTGCCTACCTCTGTTCGAAGGAGGTTGAGGCGCACCTGTCCAAGGCCTGGTCCCTACCCACCTCGTGCCGCACCGACACGGCGCGGAATCTAGGGACCAACGCTACCCTGGGAGGCCTCCGCAGGATTGGAATTCAAAACTCAAGGTTTGCAGGTGCTTCGCGCAGGGCCAGGAGGCTCAAGATATTGCAAGGAGCTGGAGCTGACATCGGTATGGTTCACAGAATGGGGCCCGTGGCATCGGCCCTCTGGGGATCCTCGGTCTCTGGGGTGGCCCCTACAAAAATGGCTGGGCTCCGCATTGGTGCTGCAAGTTCCCTAGGCAGGCTCCCTAAAGGTGCTTCGGTTGGGCTCAGGATGTACACGTACGGGCTCGGGGCCAAGGTAGACCCTTTGGTGGTTTATGTGGGGCACGTTCTGTTTATGTGGGCTACTGCTGTTTGGGAAGCTGTCCCTCACGTTCAGGTGTTGGCCAATACCATGAGGGTCTCGATCGCCAAGTTTCAGAATTCAGCTCAGCCTTGGAGGTCAGCGTCTTCTCCCAGCGACGTCGCGCTTTTAACGTTGCGAGGCATAGGCTGGGACTTTGTAGACCAGCACACCATCAAAGATGACTTGAATGTGGTGCATGACTTGTTCAGGCTTTCCCCGATGCAGGTCAGGACTTTGATCAGGCAAGGTGCTGTGCGAGCGTCAGATAGACATGCCCTGCACTTGCAGAACGGCCTGGATGGGCCGCCTGTGTACCTTATCTTCTGGGATGGTATTTCCAGGTTGTTCAGGGAGAAGTCTGTAGACTGGGGAAAGCACCATCAGAGATGCTTAAGAGGCTTGGTCTCGGGAGTTCACTGGCCCCAAGCTCGTCTGCATGCCCACAACCTTCACGATGATGATCCGTGTCAGGTGTGCAAGGGGACCCCAGGTACTTTGTGGCACCGTCAGTACGAGTGCCCTGCGCATGAAGGCCTGCGGCGAGACCTTGCGAGTGTTCACTTGTGTAGGTGTGCGCGGAGAGTGAAGCAGTTCGGGCCGCTGATGGCGGAGAGGTTCGCGAGGTGCATCTTTCCTCACCCTCGCTCGCTCTTCGACGTAGAGGAGCCCACGCAAATTGTTCACTGGCACGAGAGGCCCGAGACGGGGTTATTGACGGGGTTGCTCTTCCTTGACGGGTCGGCTAAGTACATGGGCCTCGATGGGCTCACTCGGGCTGGTTGGAGTATCGTGTCGGTCGACAGGTTTGGGGAGTTGATCTCGGCGGCCTACGGCCCAGTTCCACTGAGTGCGGCCCCGCAGCAAACTAGTAAAGACGGGGAAGACTATGCTGTATATATGCTTACGCAAGTAGGTCTTCCCCCTTTTCAATGCTATATTGATTGCCAGAGCACTCTGGATTCGTTGGCTCGGGGCCCTGGGTTCGCGGAGGGCCCTGGAGCCCCCCGTGGTCACCTGTGGGGCCCCGTGTGGAGCTCGTTCACTCTCAGCGATTTCGAGTGTTATAAGACGCTCGGCCACGCCACTGCGGCCGACGTCGAGGCTGGCAGAAGCAGTGTTTGGGAAAGACGGGCCAATGGGCTCGCAGATAGGTTTGCTAAATTAGGAGCTGAGTGTCATGGGGTCAGCGACGGTGAGGCCAACCTGTACAGAGGCCTCAGGTGCCTTGCCCGCGAGGCCTGCAGGTGGGCTGGATCGGTCGAGGTGCTGATGTCCAGTGGGCCCCGTGACTCAACGGGCCTAGTGCCCAGGTCGACAGGCAGCGATGGCCAGCGGCAGCACCCACAAGACGATGATGCCCACGGCCAGGCCCTGGCCGACGACCAAAGGGAGGTGGGAGGTTCTTTGGACTTGGGGGAGGAGTGGCGGCCTTTCTCTCGGCAAGTTTTTCGGGCCAACGGTCATGCTTTCTTGGCCTGCCCTGTCTTGGAACCTCCTGGAAACCCCAGGGGAAGGATCCAGTTTTGTTGTCGGTGCGGATCGTTTTTCTCTGGGGCTCCCAACGCTGGAGCTAAAGGCCTGTGTAGGCCCAAATCGACGACGGGCGGAATTAATGACCAGCTGAGAAGGATTCGGCAGGGCAAGTTTCCGTCGTAAAAGAAGGACCTGAAGAATTTAACTCTGGGGGCTCACGTGAGCCTTAGCCTCGCCGAACGGAGGGTCTTGGCTCAGACGCTGGAGGAGGATGGCCAGGCCCCCCAGGGAGTTTCAGGTCCCGCCACCGTAGGCTTCGCGGGGGGCTTCGCCCCGCGTGAGCAGGTTTTGGATTCGTTCGGCCTTGCAGAGTCGGATTTACCCTGGGTCAAGGACCTAGGTGCCGTCTCCCTCCGAGCCTCGAACTCCGGTTTCGAGTCCGACTCGGAGGCGTCCGATTTTGGCTGAATGAGGAGGTGATTTGGCTTCAGGCCCGTCCCCAACAACCTCGTCATCCTCGTCCTCGTCTTCCTCCTGTTCCCCCTCCTCCTCCTCCTCCTCCTCCTCCTCCTCCTCCTCCTCCTCCTCCTCTTCCAACCGAGTGCGGGCCGTTTGAGTGCTGGCCAGGGACGCGCTGAGGGCGAAGCGAGGGCTCGGCCTACCAGCATGGCATGTGCATGCCTGCTGTCGCGGGGTCGTGCCCACCCTCGTGTATTACGGCAGAGGCAAACATTTGGTGGACAGTCCTCTTCCTCCCCAAACTCGAAGTTGGCACGCGAGGGGTGCAGACTGCGGTCGATGTGCACCTCATCAGACCCACCCCCAACTTTGAACATTGCGGGGCGGGAGGGGGGAGGCGTTGACCGATCAATGTGGCATGCGTGCTCGAGATGTTGCCCAACCTGCCTGTTGCCGGGTCTCCGTTTTGACGAGACTGTCTCCGCGTTCTCCGCTCCTCTCCTCTCCTCTCCTCTCCTCTCCTCTCCTCTCCTCTCCTCTCCTCTCCTCTCCCCTTCTCTCCTCCACCTCCTCCCTCCTCCCGTCACCCCCCTCACGTTGGCGCACGCATCATACCCTTCGTGGCCCTATAGGGAGTTCCACCGAAAAACCCAATTGCGCAGCCCGCATGCGTCTCTCTCACCTAGCACTATGTCTCGTGGCCTTATAATGAGCTTCGACGAAGGTCCCACCGGCGCAGCCCGCATGCGACTCCCCCACCCAGTACAGCGCTTCGCGGCCCCATAGGGAGCTCCGCCGACGGTCCCAGAGGCGCAGCCCGCATGCGTCCCCCCACCCAGTACAGCGCTTCGTGGCCCCATAGGGAGCTCTACCGAAGGTCCCAGTGTCGCAGCCCGCATGCGTCTCCCCCACCCAGTACAACGTTGCGTGGCCCTATCACAAGCTCCACCGACGGTCCCAGTGTCGCAGCCCGCATGTGTCTCCCCCACCCAGTACAGCGCTTCGTGGCCCCATAGGGAGCTCCGCCGAGGGTCCCAGAGGCGCAGCCCGCATGCGTCTCCCCCACCCAGTAAAGCTCTTCGTGGCCCCGTAGGCAGTTCAACCGACGGTCTCAATTGCGTCTGCCCCACCCGGTACAGCGTGTTGTGGCCCTATTACAAGCTCCACCGAGGGTCCCAGTGGCGCAGCCCGCACGCGTCTCCCCCACCCGGTACAGCCCGCATGCGCCTCCCCCCCACCCAGTACAGCGCTTTGTGGCCCCATTGGGAGCTCCACCGAAGGTCCCAGTGTCGCAGCCCGCATGCGTCTCCCCCCCTCCACCCAGTACAGCGTTCCATGGCCCCATAAAAAAATCCGCCGAGGGTCCCAGAGGCGCAGTCCGCATGCGTCTCCACCGCCTGGTACAGCGTTTCGTGTCCCTATGAGGGGCTCCACCGAAAACGAGACCTACAACTGCGGTGTTCACAACTGCATATGGTTGGGTCCCTGACCAGGCTACTTCTATTGGTGCAGGAACGCTCTGTTTACAATTTGTTGGGTGCCGTTATCTCCGACTGTTCCTTACGGTCCGCCTCCTCTTCCTCCTCGTCTTCCTCATTCGTTATTAAGGCTTCCTTTCCAAGGCTTTTCCATCAATGATTCCCTAGTAAGGGCTCTTGAACAAGGATTCTTGCATTCCGAGTTTATGAAGAGGGATCCGTTCTGAAGGAATATTTAGTAACAATTCCTTGCTAATGAATCAGTATTGAGGATCATTGGTTAATTGCTCGGCAGGATGGTCATTTTTGGTATTTTTGGTTCAAGCCAACTTGGCCCGAGCACGTGACTTTCTGGCTCGAGTGCCGTCTTAGATTTTTTGG